ATTTGTTCGCTATTCCATCTTTAGTTTAATTTCATACACTTTTCTTTCTTCATTTTTTAGACTAATACTTTTTTTACAAATTGAAAAATAAATAACTTGTAAGCTTCTAAGTTGTTCACATCAAAAAAGCGGTAGTTAAATACGGAAGATTCTTATTGAATGCAAGTAAACGCTTAGAAAGTGATTTTAACAAACCGAAAATCTTTTAGTGCTGTAACTTTATTCTTCTTTTTTTTTTTTTACATCTTTTCATTTTTTGCTTTCATTTTCTTCTGCATAATCAGTGCAGTATCGTCAGTATGAGACATTACCACTAAAAGAATTTAATTTACGGTACTGTAGTTCAATACCCACTTGATAAAATTAGGAAGAAGCAGAATCTGAGACAATTGGTGTAAAAAGCAGAGAAATGCTGTAAAGGTAACAGTGCTGAAATATAATTTGATGCCTAAAAAGGTTTTGAGTATAATGCATAGAAAATAAAGTTTTGCGCTTCTTAAGTCACATTTTTTGGTTAACTGTTAACAGAAAATTTTCCTATTGATTAGGCCAGTTGATGAAACCAATAAATGTCGTTATCACTTATCTTCGCTTTGGGTCTCTGTAACATTAACAGCCTTCAGACGATTACGCTATCATCGCCAAAGTGAATTTTAGTAACGATAGTTTGGAGTAAACGCAAATTTAGGGTGCAAGAAAAGTAGGAAAGAGAAGAGTATTCAGCATTTTGCAAACAACACTGTAGAGAAGGATGGTTTTTCTCTTCTTAGATCAATGAATCCAGCTGCAATATTTTTTGCTCTTTTTTTTGGTTTTATTCATTTATTTGTACTATATAAATTATTTGCTTTTTTCTAATTAATTAAATAAGAAAATTTAAAAACATTTTTTATTACTTGCAAAAGGTAACAAAATTGGTAATACAAATATAAGAGTAAAATGAAAAAGAATTAAAAGTGACCCAAAAGGTAGAAGTAAGAAAATTTTTTTTAAAATTAGAAATTTTTTGAACTACGACGATGAACAGTGGTATTCTGCTAAGAAAGAACTTGAAACAAGTTTTAAAATAAATACTTTGCGTCATGTTATATTTACATATTCATTTATTTTTAATTAGTTATTAAACCGCATTTTTCTGGTCCGTGGACCATAAATGCGTATCACTTATATATTTTTTTCAATTATGTTCATATTAAACGACATGAAGATTTAGACACTTCTTCTTCTTCTTGTTCTTAGTCATATATGGTGAACTGTGTAGCCTTTCGTGCTGTCCTCAGCCATCACTTGCTATTCAAACATATCAAGAAAGAAGATCTAACTACATGATTTTTTAAAATTAATATAATTGAACAAAAAGAATATAAAAATCTTCTCGGTTACCTACCAATCTTGTTGTTAAATTGCCCCATCAACCCCTATTCAGCTCTTCAACTACAAAACAGTCATGCTCTTTGCAAGCTTCCAGAAGCAAGTCGGAAATTGCATCAAGATTACGCATCATACAGAAGCTAATATTTATTTCATCAACTTATAAAACGGTGAGAGAAAAAAGCCGCTTCTTTTTCTGTTCCACTTTTTTCCTCTTACTATTATTCTTTGGCACATTCTTGTCAATAACTTCAGCCATAGAAGAAATACAGCAACAAAGCAATCTTTTTTTCATTCCCTTTTTTTTTTTTGATTTACTTAACCATTCATGAGCACACCACAATTCTCTCCTCAGTATAAGCATTTTCAAGAGCAAAAAAGGAAAAATGTAATTATCTATGTGTCTAATTTTTTTTGCCCTTAACAAATACCATCAATACTACAATTTCAGTTTCCCAATCTTCCATTTTTTCCTTTTCTTTTTCTATTTTTTCCGATCACTCTTTCAGAGACATCTGTTAAAGAGCGAAATTTCGTTATAACATATCAGAGCTTAACTGTGAAAATGAAGAGGAATTTAACTTATAGTCCACTTATTCGCTTTCCTTCCACCTTAGCTTAATTCCTTCTTCTAAGTGTTATTTTTTTTTTTTATTTTAAAGATATAATATTATTTTTTTCCTCAAGATAAACAAAGGATTTCGCCTCTCACTTCCGTTACTGAAATCATAAACTGTCTGTCCATAATAAAAATTTCCGAATCTGATGCGCCTTAAAACGATGTTAAGTAATATTGCGCTTTTATTCTTTGAGCTTGTCCTATAGTTCTTAAAGCCTGAGATTTTGGCGGAGTGCCAACCGATGGAATGAATTTTTTCTGCTCTGATGCGAGTTACAAAGGCGCGGAGTTTAGTGCGCGTCTTCTCTCAGGGCCTTCGTTGATGAAGATTTTGGAGAGTATTTGGCGACGATGTTACGAAACGGTACTTCCATTCTTTCTTCTTTTTTTTTTCTTTTTTTTTTTTTAATCATTTTAGTGTCGTTCCTTTCATGCTTGTTTTTGTCCTTGTTTTGTAAGTAATCCGCCCTTAATTTTGGCTGATCTTCGTTGTGGAGAAAAGCCGAATATTTTAGATGGCTTATCTCTGTCAAAGCGTAGACAAAGAGACACACAAACACGCTCACACATACGAACACAAACACACGCATACTACCGTTGCTTGTTGCTCGATTCATCGTTTATCCATTTTTCTATAGCTTCTTAAAATTTATTTAGAATCTAGATAAATACTAATTTGTTGCACGCTTGAATCGTTGCAGTTATTTTTGGGTGCAATTTTTAGTCTGAATGTCAGCAGCAACATGATAGTTTTCGCTCAACTATGTTTCACAGGTTTTTTAACTTTGTATTTTAACTTTAGCACTGTAGGGGCGTGTTGAGTTGTCATCTTTGGCTTCTGTCACAAGGATATTACTTTCTTCTATATTTTTGTAATTCTTTGTAGCGCCATACTTTTTTTTTTGAGGTAGGTTACCTGTTTTCGGCTTAATTGCGGTTTTGAACGGAAAAATAGAATTGCTTTCACACGATGTTTCCGGACAAAACATTTCTTTCATTTTTTGAATGTTGCGCTTAGTCTGCTTCGCTACTGACGGATACAGCTAATAAATAGGCTTACTTTTTGTTACTGCGAGTTTTCAATTGTGAAGGGAAAGTAGTAATTTGTTTTTAATTTGCGACTTTTTGCACGATAACCTCATCTCGGTCACTTTCCGAATGACTGCTTCAATTTTTGGATATTTGGGAGTCATACATTCCTTTCTCGGTGTTTATGATCTTCAGCCGTCCTCTTTTATTCTTCTTTCTGGTTACTTCAGTCGCTAGTTATTTACAAAGGTTGCTTAGTTGTTGCGTTCTTACAAAGAATTTTTCGGGACTACTTTATTTGAGGTGAAAATGCAAAAAAAAATTTTTAACTATAATGCTTTAGAGGAGCAGAATGCAAGGTAACATTTTTTGTTGATGGATAGCTTTGTTGAGTTATTTTTTTATTATGTGGACTATGTGAGATGCTTCATTATTGTGGAGTTTTCAATCTGTTGCATTGTCAGTTGCAATTACTTCTTGGGTCTCTTTACACGTGGTCAGTACGACTAGTTGTGTTTGTTTCATTTTTTTTGTCCAAAACATAGAAATTTGTTGAAGGATTTTTTCACTTCATTTTAGCGCAATATACATGTGAAAGTGTATGATATTTTTTGAAGATTTCTTGCAGTTTTCGGAATTCAACGGTTACATTCTTCTTGGCGAACTTTAGTTTTTTGGAATTCTGGAACTCATCTTCAGTGCTTAAGCGTTTTTTAGGGTCATTTACCTTTTTCTTGGAAGCGTTAAAAAAAAGTTATAGGTTTTTTGACCACTGCTTGTTTCATGGGCGTTTTTTGTTCCGTGGATTAGGATGCCGAGATTTTCATTTCTGATTTTCAGATTTTATTTGTTTGGATACCTTATGCATTTTTCTGATTTGTGAGGACGTGCATTTCATAGCTCGTAGTTTGCGGCGATGACCGAATATAAATTGGTGGTGGTTGGAGATGGTGGTGTTGGGAAATCAGCACTTACAATTCAGTTAATACAGAATCAGTTTGTAGAAGAATACGATCCAACTATTGAAGATTCGTACCGCAAACAGGTGATTTTTGGTACTATGCAATTTATTTACTTTTGGATCTTAAAATTGTACTATAATTTATTTTTGGTGATTTAAGTTCTTACTTCTTGATTGGGGTTGAAAGAAATGGTTTTTCTTTTTACAACCTTCGCAGTTCTGTGGAATTCTTTAATTTTCGGAGCTTCTTTCTTTGTCACACATTTCGCAGTAACCTTGAAAATCAAGTTTTTATAAGTTTAATCCAGAATCTGAACATTGCTTATTTGTGTTTCTTGATTACTCTTTAAAACATGTTATGCGGACTAAACGAAACAACCATTAATTTTTTCAAAAAAAGGAAAATTTGGTTTCTTGTGTAACAGTGGTGATAACTGGAATTTATTGTTCTGGACAAGTCAGAGCTTTTCAGTCTTTTGAAGTAAATGTGAAAGCAATGAAACAATAAACATTACTTCAGGTCGTGATAGATGGAGAAACGTGCTTGTTGGATATCTTGGATACTGCAGGACAAGAGGAGTATAGTGCAATGCGTGACCAGTATATGAGGACTGGTGAAGGGTTCTTACTTGTCTTTGCTGTCAATGAAGCAAAGAGTTTCGAAAATGTTAGGCTGTATAGAGAACAAATACGACGGGTTAAGGACAGTGATGAGGTAGTAGATTTAACAGTTTTGGGATATTTTTTGTAGAATTTGTTCTTTTTTGAGTTTTAATTGGTAGTCGTCTGCAGTTTTTTTAGAACAAGACGACAGGTTTTTTTCGTTTTGTTGCGTTAATATTGCTAAATTCATGAAGTTTTCAATACATTGTTGTCTAAATAGGAGGGAAGTTATGCCTTAAAATTTACATTTCAAGTTTAAAAACGAGCGAGAGCTTTTGCAGTAGTTTTGAAAGTTATGAAAATCCTTTCAACTGGTTCGTATATCTTCAGATTAACATTTTACAGTTTTCTTGACGCAGTTTACTGTATTTGTCAAAAGTCAGGAATTGTTTTCATATCTCTTTTTAGTCATTCTTAAGTTTTAACTCAAACTTCAACGAAGCAATTACTCCTTTTTAGAATTCGATCTCTTTTTTCTTTACAAATTCTTCACGTGTTTTATTGTTGGGATAGTTTGTTTTAAGAATCATTTACCATTAAATCTAGTGAAACCGTAGAATTTGCAGCAGGTAGAAAGTATTATCAGTGTGCGCTCTACTCTTTTGGTAGTATTTAGTTCTTTATCTTTCAGTCATATGGAATATAAGCCATTTATCCTTTAAAAAAATGACTTGGGAATGCGGCATTAATTTTTCGGTTGATATGTGTTAGCTTATCAAAAGATTTATAATATAGTCGACAGAAACATTTTTTCTTAATGCACATTTGCTAGTTTTTGATAATGTGGCTCACAGAATTGTTTCTAAACTTGCTATATTAACTTAATTATGGTTACTGCAAGAACTCTTGTAGTCCTCTGCCACTGTTGGATTGTTCATTCAAGATCTCAATCCCTTTGTTTAGGTTCCTATGGTACTCGTAGGTAACAAATGCGATTTAAGTCGTGCCGTGGATTCAAAAATGATTAGTGATTCTGCACGCTCTTTTGGAATCCCTTTTGTCGAAACGTCTGCAAAAACACGCATGGGCGTTGATGATGCATTTTATACTTTGGTTCGGGAAATCCGTAAATTTAGAGAGAAGCAAACAGTGAAGCCAGACGAGCATGGTTGTTGTAAAATTCTTTGAAAGTCTGGCTTAAAATTTGGATAAGTTTTTTCGATACATTGACATGATGAAATGGCATGCTGTATGTAAAAATAAGTGCGGAAATTCATTTTATTTTTACGGAATATTTTTTGCTAAAAGTCCAGCAGTGTTCTGCCAATAAGTCCTTGGCCATGTTGATCATGATATTAGTTTTATAATATCTATTAATTTTCGTTTCTCCGGTGTCTTGAGCTATTATTTGCTTTCTTTTCATTTTCCCTATGTTATTTTTGGTTCAAAGAAGTTGGGGAAGTTGGTGTCTCGTAGTGGAGTTACTGTTCATTTTGGTGAAATTGTTCTTCCTTATTTCTCTTTTTTTTTTTCTTGTTTAACTTTGATGATGTTTTTAGTTTTTAAGCTTTAATATGTTTGTCATCGAGTGATCGTTTTCAGAATGATTAATTTTGCTCGGTTTAGCTTTCCTTCACTCGGAAATTTCTTATTTGTAAAAATAAAGTTTCCCCGTTAGAGCTTATCTCGACAAGGAAAGTGGTATTTTTTTTAATACGAGTCGCTGTGGAAATCTAGTGAATGGGGAACAGAAAAGAGAAATGGCCATTTTGTAGTTTTAGAAATAATTTTGCAGTTTTTATTTTTTTAATCAACTTTTCATTGTTTTTTCACTTTAATAAGGCAAATTACAGCCAAACTTTTGTCTTGTAAAAGCCATTTTGACTTATTCGTCATACCTTCCTAGTACAAGCGCAGTTCCAAGTACTAATGCACTTCTGAATCCCAATCAAATGTCGTTCGTGTTGATATTCCAAAATTTTCTGCTTCTTTATTGGCTCCTGTTAATTTAAGTTTCTGTACTCCGGTAACAAGTGAATTTACAGGACATTGTTACCATCTGGTTTATTGTAATTGTGTCTAATTTTTGTGGTTTTTAAGTTGTGTCCTCACCGATTAGGATGTGCTAGTTTTGTTATCGTTATGAATTTTTTAAAAGTATTTCCTGTGCGTTATTTTTTGTTTCTGATTTTTATGACAACGTTAAACAGATTCCATTAGTGCTATGAAGTTATTCTCCGTTTTATATTGTTAATATAGTTGATGTTGTCGTGGAATCAAGTATCTTCTCGTTATTACATCTGAGGTTTCCTTCTTTGCTGTCTTTCTCTGAGAATTCTGCGCTTAAAACACGCAGTCTTGCTTCCATTTCGTTCCATTTTGTTCTTGCTGGTTTAGATTTCGAAATCGTCGTTTTTTTCTTTTTCTTTTTTTTTTTTCTTTTTTTGACTTGGTAGACTACGTTATAAGTAGGCAGAAACATTAGTTTTTATTAATCATATTCTAGTTTGGAATTGGATGTACGTATATTGGCTTTGCTCAACCTTCCGAAGGGCCATGAACAAGTCTGCGTGATTATTGAGTGCTGTTGCTTTTCATAAATTGTTTTTGCATTGAAGTTCAGAAAAAACTTTCTGGTCTTTTGTTTACTTAAACGATTTCATTGACTGTAATGTCGTTTGGTTCATAAAGTTTAAATGTTATTCATTGTGGTGTGATGTCCTGTTAGCTGCCCACATGAGGCAGTTTTAATGAACTTTAGAAAGAAAGCTGAAGGCGGTATGACTCATGAAGTGTTTGTTCTGGTTGGATGGGTAGTGCCGGTTGATTGAAATGGTAGTTAGAAAATAAATGTGGAGCGTATTTTTCGAGAAATTTATTTCTAACAATTTCTGTGAAAGAAGGGTTGAGAATCGGAGAATAAATGAGACGATGGTTTATTGATGGTGGCAGCGGAAGCGTTCTTTCGTTG